CCTGCAGGCTTCCAAAACTGGAAGAACACCCCGCTCCAAACCCTCTGATCGCAACTTCTGCATGCCTTCAATGGCTTCAGTTGAAAGTCGAGCTACCACCCTCTCTGCGCCCAACTTGCCGTTGCCTTTATACGCTTTGTCTTCCGCCCGCTGCTGGAAAAGCACATGTGGCTCGTCGTGGTCTTCCCCGCCCAACAAACGGAGATCCGAAGTTCTAAGAAGCAGCGTTTCACTGATCCTTCGGGAGGTGACAAGAGCAATCCACAGTACTGCGCAGTACACAGGGCCAGCAAAGCACAAAGCGACTGCGAAGAACAGGTCTAGCTGGTCTCGGGGCACAAACACATGTTGCTTGCTTGTTTTGCTATGTTGCTTCCCTTTGTTCCAGGGAGCGCGGGTACAACCACGGCGCCCCGCTGCTTCTGTTCCCCTTGCAGGGCGTTTTTTGGCTACAAAACGAGATGCCCGGGCCATAATTTGGGAAAACCAGCCGCTGGAGGCACGCCGCTCGGACCGAGAAATGCAGCAAGAATGCACCAACCTTCGAACTTACCAATAGCTTTTGCGAGCTGACCGATGGAGCTCCCCGAATTTACCGAGGGGGGCGTCGGTAAGTTGGGGGGAGTTGGGGCATTCCAAAAAAACTCTCCATGTGACTGTGAGCGCCTATGCTCGGTTAAGAACACATATCTCACATGAGAAACGTGTGTGTGTGTGAAAACAGCCAGCAACAGCAAGCAAAGTGCTTGAAGAAAACAGCCCGGAAACTGCTCCTTGCCCACTTTCCTCCAACCAGATCCTGATCTCGATCCGCCAGCTGCTCCTCAAGTCCTGCCAGGGCAGCAGGCGGGCCAGGGGGGAAACGCGCATCTAAAGCAAATGTGCCTACGAGCCATACCAACATACCACCAAACTAAGACAGGGCCGTCTTGGCCTTCTCCAGCAACCGTTTCGCAATAGAAGTATGAGTGAGGGGTACAACCACCTTCACTTACTGTGGAGCTGATTGTCTTGCAAGTCGGCACGTGCGACATCTCAAGTTGTCAAAGATTGATGGGCAAAGCTGGCCTTCTGAGACTTGGGAAAAGCAATTTTCGAGCCGCCCTGCCCCCCCCCCCCCTCCCCAGGCGCCTGCAGAGTGGTTGTACCCTGCTGCCCCTGCCCTGCGCGCACTCCCAGCCTTGGGCAAGCCTCTTGGCCTGCAGTAATTCCCAATTCCTTGCTGCAGCACGGCTTTTGGAAGCGGCGCCTGTAAATTGCCACGCCAGCCCAACATGACACAAGCAAATGCAAGAATTTGCAAGATTCTCGCTCCCAACCTTGTCCGTTGCAAAGCTCAGGCCGTTATTAATTTCAACAGGTTCTCGATCTGAACTTGGGTGAGGGGTACAACCACCTTCACCAAACACTGAGGGTCTTGCAACTCCGGCTAACAACCGCCACACATTCACTTATGCAAGCTTAAAGGGGAGTCTTCCCCGAAAGCCGAGGCATCAATCATGGTCCGTATTCGCACTTTGCACTGTTTGCTGCGCAGGCCAGCCTTGTTGAGCAAAACCAAAGACTCAGCCGATGGAGAAACATCTTTATCCTCCGATGCAAACCCCGCCTGTTTCCCGCAATGGTGCCTGGACCTTAAAAAAAAACTTAGCATCCGACATGCGCTGAAGTGCCCACCACCTTGCTGAAAAGGCCTTCTGGAGGACTACCCAGACAACCCATATAACATCGGCAAGTCACGAGCGTCCACCGCGCGAGTCTCGCTCGCGGGAAGTTTCCGCATGTCACGAGCGTCCACCGCGCCAGTCTCGCTCGCGGGCGGTTTCCGCGTGTCACGAGCGTCCACCGCGCCAGTCTCGCTCGCGGGCGGTTTCCAGCCAGCCTCGCACGCCCAGTCTGCACCACACCGCCGTCCCCCCACAGCCAGCCAGTCTCGCTTGCGGGCGGTTTCCAGCCAGCCTCGCGCGCCCAGTCTGCGTCCCCCCAGCCAGCCAGTCTCGCTCGCGGGCAGTTTCCAGCCAGCCTCGCGCACCCAGTCCAGCCAGCCAGTCTCGCTCGCGGGCAGTTTCCAGCCAGCCTCGCGCACCCAGTCTGCACCACACCGCCGTCCCCCCAGCCAGCCCCACACCGCCGTCCCCCCAGCCAGCCTCGTACGCCCGGTCTACCCCCAGCCGGCATCGCACGCCCGGTCTGCAGCACAACGAAATGGAAATCCCTTCTTATCTCCGTCGTCACAGCTTGTATCGCTCCCAGGCACCTAAACCTAAAGCAGAACCCAAGCATCAGAGATGCTTTTGGGAAAAATGGCACGGCGCCACAGCGAGAGCGCCCCGACACGCACGATCCCCGCAGAGGGTTCGTCCGCGAGCTTTGAGATTCGCACGGCGCCACAGCGAGAGCGATTCGACACGCACAATCTCCGCAGAGGGTTCGAGGGCCAGGTAAAAAAATCGCACGGCGCCACAGCGAGAGCGCTCCGACACGCACGATCCCCGCAGAGGGTTGTTCGTCGGCCACGTAGAAAACTCGCACGGCGCCACAGCGAGAGCGATTCGACACGCACAATCTCCGCATAGGGTTCGCGGGCCACGTAGAAAATTCGCACGGCGCCACAGCGAGAGCGCTCCGACACGCATAATCCCCGCAGAGGGTTCGTCCCCCCAGCGCCCGCCAGACCCACCCCCGGCTAAGAAAGAAGATAGAATTTCAAGGCTGCGAGCTTCGGCTGGGTCAGTAAAGCTGCGTAAGCTAGGCTGTGTAAGTCAGGCTGTGTAAGCTACGCTGCGTAAGTCAGGCTGTGTAAGCTACGCTGCGCAAGTCAGGCTGCGTAGCTGCGTCAGTCAGGCTGTGTAAGTCAGGCTGTGTAAGTCAGGCTGCGTTTGTCAGTTTGAGTAAGTCAGCTGTGTTTGGTTTTTCAGTTTTTCCAGTTTGTTTCAGATTTGTTCAGTTTTTGTTTTCCAGTTTGCAGAGCGCTTCCTTGAAGAGATGCCCTTACGCAATCATAGTGCTTGGTTGTTCAGACAATACTAGGGAAATAATAAAGGCGCACACTAGCAGAAAACTGAAAAACAAAAACTCAAAAAAATGAAAAACAAGGTTTCAGGGGGACATGCCTGGGGGGGCCCCATTTCCTCCTGAAACCTTTGGTTTTTCAGTTTTTTTTCCAGTTTCTTTTCTTCAGTTAATTCAGTTTCCAATACGCTTCCTTGGGCCTGAAAAGTGTGTGTTCTCGCAAATGCAGGTTTTGGTGACAAAGCGCTGTAAATACCTGTGCTTTCGTTCAAATGGGGGAGTACCATATATATATATATATATATTATATTTTATATGTAATTATATTATATATTTGGTCCCCCTCCCCCCCCCCCCCCCGCCCCAAAACCCACGCCCCAAGAGAATCTGACGGTATTTGCAGCCCATTTTGGCTTAACTTACCTCCCAGCTTTCTCCACGCTGGACAAGTCGTGGATTTTTTTGTCATCCGCATCGGCCATGGCTATCGAGGACACGCTTTGCACCCGTTTGAGCCCTGCACATGTGCTGTAGCGATCTCTCTCCGTAGCCGTTTGCACACCCCGCCATCACCCCGCCACCGTTCAGCCTTGAGTGAGTATACCTGCCATGGACTCCGAGGCAGCGTCGATCGGCCGCGCCCTGGAACGTTTATTGACGCACGGGGACGAAGTCCTTGAGGTCAGCCTGGAGGGGCAGCTGAAGCTTCTGCACAGCATAGCCAGCGGGCCAGCAGCTTGGAAGGGGTGTCATACTCCCTCACTGACTCAGGATGCGCTCAGCAGCGCCCGCTTTTAAAGGAATCCTCGGGTCCCCGGGGGTTTCGGCAGAATCCTTCTTGACAGTTGAGTCAGTCAAGGGTGAGTTGCAAAAGGTACAGGAAAGGTGATGCTGCCGAGGCACCGCAGCCGCGGATCTTGTGCCGCACAGGTTGACGACCGCCGGTTTGTGTTATGCTAGGGCTTATCAACAGCTGCGCTGGTTGGCTGCACGGTTGCTCCAACGTCTCCCACTCAGCACCCTCCCACTCGCATTTCCGCCCCCACCCCCTCCCACTCGTGCGTGGCGCACACCTAGTCCACTAAGTCCCATAGAAACCGCGGTGTGTGCGATGTTTTTTACCTAGTGGCGCCGGCCTTGCTTACGCAGAAAGCCCGCCCATTTGGTTGCAAACATACCCGCTATGTCTGCCCGCCGCCAAAACCTACTCTCGGGCAAGTGAGCGGCGCTGGGACGCAAGGGATGCTGGAAAGCCCACATGTTGGTGATGCAGGAATGCTGGGGATGCTGGTGAAGTTGGCGAGGATGCAGAGGATGTTGGCGGGCATATGCTGGCGACTCCCAAAAACGATTTGCACGGTATTTACAGTGTTTTTGAAGGTTGGGCAACGTGGCCTCAGGAGCCAGTCGCATGGGGTCCAAATGTTTGGGCTGGCCTGCGCGCAGGTGATGTAAGGGGATGCTGAGGAGGAGCTTGGGGTGCAACAAAACACGTCAGCGGCACACCCTACGGGTAGGGTTGCCCGTTGCGATTCCGAGGTTGAAAGCGCAGAAAGCTCCAAAACTGCAAGTTTAACAAAACGATGACCCCAGAAAAGCGACTTTAAATTCACCGGGTTTTTTATGCAACCTCAAGCGTCCTTTCCTTTGGTTTCCCTTGGATGTTGGTTTGCCCCGGGTTGTCCTTGAGTTTTCTTCGTGGTTTTCCTTTCTCTTTTTTTTTGCTGCTTCAGGTTTCTTTTTGGGTTTCCAATGGTTTCCCTTTGGTTCCCCTTGGCTGTTCCTCTGGTTTCCCTTGGGTTTCCCTTTCCGTCTTTCTATGACTTTTCCTTGGTTTTGCCCGGATGCTTTTGCGCGGGTTCCCTTTGCTTCCCCCCCCCCCCCCCAAAAAAAAAGTCGTTATTTTTCCCCCCTCTTGGCTGTCCTTGAGCTTCCTTTGGTTTCCCGCGCATGTCCCTTGGTTTCGTCCGACGGGCGCACTCCGCCAGGCGCCGGCCACGCCTTGGGCGCGGTGCTCGCCTCCGAGGTGCTCGCCTGAAGGCGCGCGGAAAAGGGAAATTGGCGTCCGGTTCAACTTAGCCTCTTCGCTGTTTTTTTTGTTTAGTCGTTGTTTTTTTAGTTGGTTGAATGCTAGTTTCCATTCCCACTAAAAGTTAGTCACTTTTAGCGGGGTATCTGAAAACGGGCAGCCCGGGTAAGGCCCGCACTGGGGTCCCAGTTGGGTTTTGGAGGGCAACTGGGAACGGGAATCTGCAGAACACCTGGCCTCCAAACAAACCTAGACCACGCTAGAATGGGACAGTGCTTGGCGGTTTGGAAATTGGAAAAACAGTTGTTGGGGGGGGGGGGGGGGCTGGCAGGTTTCCTTTTTTCCATTTGTTTGGGAGCTAAGACCCGTTGCTTGAGAACGGCGGTTTTGGGGGCTTCCTTTTGTTAGGGGTGGAGTATGGGTGGAGTAAATATCATACATGCCCAGAAAATCATATTGCCCGTGTTCCCCAGATGTGGCCCATACCAAGGGCTGCATTTCCAATTTTAGGATTGTTATTTAGCAGTGATGTCTGAGAAGGAAGACACTTGCTGGTTCTTAAGGAACCGCGGGTTTGGAAAAGCGCCATCAAAACTGCGGAAACCAACAGTATGTTGTTTCTTGATTTCAACTTTCCGGAACAGAACCGCGAAATTGCCGGTGCCCAAAACCCAAATCCGGCACCAAGAGGGCGCTTAGACCTTGGTCCTAAACGGGGTGAATGGGTTGCTATGCGTTTGTTTGGCGGCTTGCCTTTTTGCGTTCCCTTTAAAACTGCCTCAGTGGTGTTTATTGTTGTTTCCCTGAAACCGCAACAGATGAGTTCACGGGGTCCTGCCCAGCTCGGTTTATCCTTGTAGCAGCCCCAAAAAAGGATGGCCTCGAACAATCGAACAAGTATGTGCTCAAGTGCCGGTACCCCATGTTAATTTCGGATTTCTTTGGACCATGTCATCAGAAGAGTTCCCCTGAAACGAACCTATTGCCCACTAAACGGAGCTTGCCGAATATGTGTCATGTGTGTGGCCAAAACGCTTGCACCCGAGGGTGGTGAAAATAATTCTGGGCTCTTTAGCAGTTTGCTGATTGGTGTTTACGTGTTTTACTGCTTGTTGTTTGATGCTTGATGGGCTCTACTAAGAAAACCACCGCCGTGAGCCACACAAACAGAGTCTGATGGTTGAACAGATGGGAGGCTTCAGTTCAGACCTTGGAATGACATCTAGTTGCCCAGACAGTTCTAGCCAGCTTTTTCTGGGCAACCAGCCAACAAAGTCTGGGTCATGGTTTATGGTTGCTCGCCGCTGAAACATGTGGGCCAGATGATATGTGGGTGGGTTGAATTAGTGCGTACATGAAGAAATGTAGCTCAGGGCAACCGAAGAAGGGTTATGGGTTAGTCTCAGAAGGATATGGACCCTCAAAATGGGTGTTTCCGTTTTGGGTTCCTTTTAAAACCATCCCAAAAAGGGTACCCTCAAAACCGGATGCCGCCATTTGTCGAGGCGCCTTACAAATGAGTCGCCGCGCGAGAGCTCGACTCGTCTCACATTTTTGGGCGACTGCACTTTGGCCCAGGCAGAAGTCGGTTGTTTACAACATGGGCATGTTTGCGGGTGCCATTATTCGGTTAATTGGTTTTAAAGGGAATCCAAAAGGAAAGCCACCATTTTGGTGGGTCCGATTCTTAAGAAAGCACACATCCAAATGTGTTTTAACACCCAGCCATAACCAACCTTGTTGGGGTTTCCCGCAGGTGAGGAAAAAACAAGAGTAGCGGGAACAAATAAAATACCGGCGACAAGTTTTTTCGAGTTTTTGGTGCATCTTCGAGAGTCGCTGGGGCGGGGTCAACGTGTGGTTGGCGCGTTTTCGTATGGCTTGGTCCCTCAAGGGGACGCAGCGAGCCGGCAGCGAAACCATGCGTGTGTTTGCGTTGGCACTTTGGCAAGCTGGAGCCCCTGAAACTTCAGGTGCAGCGAATAGTGGGTCCATTGGAGTGAAGAGTTTCGGGGGTTCTCAAATTTTGCTTGAGAAGTCATCCTGGCGATGTCACTTTAAGGGACGGCCAGAATCCGAACAAACATGTTTCTGTTTGCGAGCAAAAACCGCGGTAGACAGATGCAGGTACATCCAAAGCAGGAGATCAACGCCGCAATTGAAACCGATTCGGATATGAGTATATCAAATTACCGTCATTTACTGTATATGGGAGTGTTTCATGGACATGGTTTCGGGTACACCATTTAGTACCGATCAGTGTTGATTCTGACACAAATTTCACCAGAAACTGGCGCCTTTCCATACTGCGTGCAGACTCGCGATTCAACCAGGGATTCGGGGGTTTACAACGGTCTCAACCTCTCAAAGATTCCCAAAGGGCTATCGACTTGGCGGTTAGCCGTCCGGTTGCTTAGGATTTTAGTTTTTTAAGGTTTAACCACTAAAATCTAAACTTTTTGCGGGGGATCTGAGGACAGCCCAGTTGGTGGAGTTGCTTCTCGCTGGATTTGGAATTTGAGTTCCACTGGGCGATTTTGAAAGATGGACACATGCCAAACGAGCACCCAATCCGCAGCCCCGCTCACCGCTTGAGTTGGTGATATTGTCACATGGGGAAATATTTGAGGAAGAACCAACTGGAAACTGGGCTTTGAGAAAACAACGTCAGCCAACACAGCCTCGGAGAAAACCAAGCAACCACACGTTGACATAAAACGCCAATCAACAACAATCCGGAAAGGAAGAAGGCAACAGATAGTCGCCTTTTATTTTGCCAGGTCTCCATTTTGACCCCCACTCCAAGCAATAACTCACATCAGTATTTTTGCTGTCGCCCAAAAGCATCCATGGCTTAAATGGCCGCTGTCGAGCAGCAGGACGGGCAGAGGATTCCAGGGGTCAAGCTTCGAGGGTTACTGTTCATTGGAGTTTGTGGTTTCGCCTGAAAGCCACAATCCAAACCTGAGAAGACAATCCCAAGCATACATGGGTGCGGAATGCCGCCTTTGTAATTCCTTAGATGGTTCTGGTTAGGTCATTCTAGTAGCAGGTGTCGATTTTGGCTCACTGTTAAACTGGAATTGTGGCGCAGTTGTTGAACCTGAGTGTCAAAATCGCGGCTCATGCTCATTCACGGATGAGTTCAGGCTAGTTCAGGTGTGTTTCATGGTAGGGCAAAACCAACTTTGCGGCGGCTTTGTGCGGGCTAATGTTGGTGAGTCCATGTTCAAAGACACACAGTAGTCACTCTGCGGGCCTCCCCCTTTGGGAATCCCTTATAACAAAAATCGGGAAATCGCAGTAATCACAGGAATGGCGGCTGGCCCACTTTGGGCAAAGCGCCCACTTTCCCCTCGGTGGGTGTGCATGTCTTTCAGTAGGCCTGCGGGACATGCGCAGGGATTCGCTAGGCGCTACCGCTGAAATGATCACGAACATGGAGGTGCACAGACCCCAAGCTGACACTCAATGCCACTTCCGCCCTTTGAAGGCTCTCGATACGCCGTAAGCGAAAAGTGCGGGGCTTCTTCGATGCCGCCCCGCATCCAACGAGGAATCGTGAAAACACCCTGTGAGATTGACATTCTCCTTTCGCCCAAGAATCCCCTCAAGTTCTCAAGAGCTCACCAGCATGGGCGTGTCTTGTTTTCACCTTAGGGGACCCCACAAAATTGTGGCTTTCCTCCACAATCACCAAGAAATGGACACACCCATAGCTGGTAGTGACACCCTACACATTTGGTGTCAGGTCCCCATTGGTCGTCTTGCGCAACGCAGCTGGAGCTTCAGTTTTGATCCCTTCCTTGTCTTCCAGTTGCCCAAGAATATCTTGCCAATTTTCCGTTTTGGTTTCAGTGGGAATCGATCACTTCTGAGCAAAACTGCGGATTTTTTTACAGCGGAACTGCGCAAGCGGAGCGTGTGTGGGCTCCTTAAAAGATACATTTTGCCCATTTGAAGTTTGAAACATGGCTTTTTCCACCAAAATAACCGGAAACCACCATTTACAAGGCAATGTTCAGGTGTATAATTTCAGGATCCCTGTTGGGGCGTGCTGGCTTTGGTTCCGTTCATTTGTGGTGGCAAGGGTCGAAACTCAAACTTGCCCTCACTTGACGCCGGCCTTGATGAATATGTTAGATCCTTTCAGCGAGTGCAAAAGAAGCACTGACAGTTTACTGCCATACCGGCACCCGGGTCCCAACTGCTGTTTCCAATGTCGAAAAAATCCCAACTGTCCAAAAGGCAGCGCTTGGGGGTGCTGGTAATGGCTACAAGTGGTGCTAACGTGCCCCACGACCCCATTAAATTTGTTAAACACCTAGAGGTTGGTTGCTGAAAAACTCAGTGCTACATGTGGTTCTCAGGTGCCCCATGTCCGAAAATCCGAAAACTCTTCTCCCGCCAGTACCTCAGCAGCAGTGGCGATGTGTTGCTGCGGCCTGCGGAGGCACGGGCTTCGGGCTTGAAGCAGGCGGTGTGTGTTTTGGCCTCGCCACCTATACCCTGGTCGAGGTGCCTCGACCAAACAAGTGTGACAGGGGCTTTGGACTTTGGAAGAGGGGACGATTGCAAGATCATTTTTCAACCGAGCCCGGCTTGCCTTAAGATTCGGTGAATTGCCAAAATGTTTCATCCACTTGGGTTTGAGTCGATTGAGTCCGGCACGGAACGACAGCGCACTGAACGGGATTGACTCCAGTTCCATGGGGCGACAGATTGGAAACCTTCGCCAGACTGGGAAAGCCCCAGAAAGTTCAGAGAAAAGTAGAGGCCGAATTGCCATGCAGGTGTACCCCCAGCTTAGGGAACCCCACCTTTGTTGCCCAGTGGCCCGTGTTTTCCCCTTTTAAACACAAACCAACCAAAAAAAGGGGTTCCCCAGGTGACCCTTTCTTTGTTGGTGGAGTTTGTTTTTTCAATCCTTTGGAGGAAATGGCCCAGTGGTTACCGATCCTTTTTTCCCCATGGAAATCCACTGGGCATCGAAGCCACTGCCAACTAAGGGGTTTTCCCTTAAACCACTGCTCCCCGAACTCAACCCCCACTAATCGGTTGTTTTCCATGACCCTCCCACCAACATGGAAGTGCCAAAAGAAAGGCCCTTTCCAAGAAAGTCGTCTTAGGGTCTGTGCACTATGTTGGCTACAGGGGTCTGTGCATGTTAGCTGGAGAGCAGAGCCCCAAAGACCCGAGCTGGCCTCGAGGTGCCTGGCGCGGACATCAGCTGCCTCGCTTGGTCGCCCGCCCGCGACCCGAAGCGATGGAAAGCGCGGGCGAAATGGGAAATCAAAGACCCTGTGTCCAAAAAAGGCCGAGTAAAAAGAAAAGGAAAGCAACCACAGCGTTTGAAAAGAAAGCCTTCTTCTTTTTGTTGTTTGTTTTGTGTGTGTGTGTGTGTTTTGTTTCCTCGTGCATGTTTTTGTCGTTGCTGTTTTCCAGCGTGGCCAGGTTTTTCGCGGGTCATCACCCGCGACAAACAAAAAGAACACAAGGGTGTTCTCGTGTTCTCCAGGCCGGGGGAGAAAACAACAAAATTCCTTCCCCCCCCCCCCCCCGAGCCTTCAGGATTGGTCCGCAAGGCCACTGCAAGTCGATGTCTTCTCTTTTACCAAACGATCTAGGCAATCAGTCCAAGGGATCGCATGTTTGGTGTCACAGAAAAGGTTTTACCCTTTCTCCAACTAACATGGCAGTGGGGAGGTTGGAAGATTCATTTCCTTTTCAAGGGAGCCTTTGTGGGAGGGAGGTTAGTTTTGACCATGGAGGGGGAAGACGAATTTGAGAAAAGTCGACGAAGCTCAGAGAACTGGTGTGAATTGTTGCATTTCAGGAATGGCAGTCAGTTGTCAAAACACAGGAGACTTCCTGAGCCAGCGGTATCTTTGGCAACGGCTTCTTCGTTAAAAAAACGCAAGCATCGTAAAGCGTTTGCCTTGCAATGACGGTTGCTCACAGGGGTCGAAGATTGGTCGCCATTTCTAGCCCGCGGTGCGAACCTTTTGCCTTTCTTCTCACCGTTCTCCAAACCCCAGGGCCTCCCCTCCGCCTCGATCCTTTTGGCTCAAAGCTCGCCTTCCGATCGCCGCATCTTCCGCCATCGGATTTTTTTTCGGTCCGGACGCCATGGACGAGGGCATGAACCGGCTGTTGATCGATGCCTTGCACATCGACCCGCCGAGATACCGGAAGGCAGTGACACGCCGAGGCGGGGGGTTCGGAACGGCTCGGTTCGAGGTCGGCTCGGAGGGGCAGAGGTTGTCCAGTGATGACTTCGACTGGGGACACATGGCCTAGCATTCTTGTTCTTTTCATGTTTGCGGTTAAGAGCAGTTGGCATGCTATTCGTTTGGAAGATAGCAGGGGGAGCAAACAAGCCCGTTTGGTTGGTTCTGGTCGTTCTTGAGAGGCAAGAGCATTTCGTTTGGTTGGCATACCAGGGCTTGGGAAGCTCTGGTTTTGTTCATTGGGGGTCCCCATTTTCTGGCGGGTAACAGAATTTGGGAAGATACCTCTCATGCCTGATGTTCTTGTTGTGTTCATTCTTCGTGGGTGCAATCTGAGCAATTTGTTTGGGAAGATGTGAGGG